AGGGAGCTGGATTCACCTCTCATTCCTATCACATGCACGTACAATTCTGATGACGATTATTCCCTTACACCAAAAGGGAGCTGGATTCAGAAGAGGACCTAGAACGAGGGGTAGCACTGAGCACGTCAGGTAGGAGACTACTAGAAAGAAGTTTGTGTTTCATTGGCTGGCGAATGGTATTCAACTGAGCGTCATGGCCACTGTGGGTGACATTGCGAAGAATGGGAATTCTTAAGTGTGCTCATGAGGAACCTGCATATAGATGAGAGATAGTTGTTTGAACCGAACAAGGGGATACGGTGTGGTTTAAACTCAGGAAAGGTATGCATCAGGGTTGTATCATTTCACCATACTATTCAATCTGTATGCTGAGCCAAGAATCTGAGAAGTAGGACTGTAAAAAGACCGAAGGATTGGAGGAAGGCTCACTAACAACCTGTGATATGCAGCTGATACAAGCTTGCTTGCTGACAACGAAGAGGACTTGGAACATCTGTTGATGAAGAACAAAGACCACAGCCTTTAGAATGGATTACAGCTCAATGTATATAAAACAAACATCTTCAGTAACTGAACCTATAAACAGCATCCTAATAAACAGAGAAAAGACTGAAGTTGTCAAGCATTTCATGGTATTTGGATCTATAATTGATGCTCATGGAAGCAGCAGTTAAATCAAATGACAATGCACTGCACTGGGCAAAAGTGCTGCACAAGACCTCTTCAAAGTGTTCAAGAGCAAAGAGGTCACCCCAGGACTAAAGTGAGCCTGACCCAAGCCTCATATGCACGTGAAAGCTGGACAGTGAGTAAGAAAGATTGTAGAAGGGTCACTGCATCTGAGTTAAGGTGTAGGCGAAGACTACTAAAAGTACTACGGACTGCCAGAGAAGAAATCAGTCTGTCTTAGAGAAGGACAGACAGAATGTTCCTTAGAAGCCAGGATGGTGAGACTGAGCCGCTCCAATGTCGGACACGTTGTCAGGAAGGACCAGCCCTGAAGGAGGACATCATGCTTGGTCAAGTGGAGGGTTAGCAATAAAGAGGAATCCCCCAGTGAGATGGACAGACAGAGGGACAGCAACACGGACAGAGCCACAGCCATGACTGTGAGGATGGCTCAGGACGGGGCAGTGTTTTGTTCTGTGGTTCACAGGGTGGATAGGAGCTGACTGGCTGGCATCACTCTGGGTGAGAACTGGTTCAGTGCCACTCAAGTGCAAACAACAACAGAACCATCCAGAGACATTTCAGTAACAAACATACCTCTGGGAATAAGATATGCGCATAAAGGCGGCCCTGGTGGACTATTTATAATAGTAAAACAATGTGGAATCTCGACAGCCTTCGATTGTCAAACCAACGTTTCCACAGACAATCTCACGTTTAAAGACAATTTAACAACACAGGTATGCTCCCCAAAAATAGCAGGTGAAAAGAGCAGGACCCAAAACTGGCCCATTTCATGAAATAAAGAACAGAAAGTCAAGGCTAGAACTGCTGAGAGGCTCAGCGATTTCTCTTTTATAAGAGGTTTCCGCTGGCAGGCAGAGCCCGGGAGGCACAGTGGGTAAGCCTCCAGGTGCCAGCAGCCATTCTGTTTATCCTTCAGCGTCACAGTGTCACAGCGAGTCAGAGCTGACTGCATGGCAATGGCTTCCTTCGGCTTTTGGTCTCTCTGACATTTTGTTTCTTCTTTTTCCTTTTCTATCACAACACAAGTGTCCCTTTTATCAGAAAATAAGTGAAAAGAAAGCTAAGTACTTGTTCTCACTGGACACTAAGCTGTGGGAGAGCTGTCCCCTGAAGCCAAGGGGTAGGTGGGGCTGTGGGGGCTGGTGGGAGCAGCCCCTGTGGGTCTAAGGAGGAAAGTCCACTTCCCTGAGCATCCCAGCCCTCCCTCCTCCGGCTGCTCACCTAGCCGGGATTGTAATGTGCCGTCGTCTGCTGATGCCATGTCGTTGAGCCTGAGAAGCCCCCGGCCTCTCTCCACCCATGACTGTGAGGCTTTGTCGAAGACAAACAGCTTACACTGGATCTGGAACACAGATGGCCCTACCAGTGAGCAGGGGCCTGGGCCAGGCCGCAGTCACTGTGGACACCCACCAGGTTGGTTACAATCAGAAAGAGGGAAAGATGTGGGGGAACCAGCACACTCAGACACTACTGCTAGAAATGCACAGTGCTGCTGTGGCAACTGCTGAGGAGGGAACTGGCCGGGAAACGCTGCTCACAGCCCAGTGTCCATGTACAGATGACAGGAATGAACGGACTGGCTCCTCACACCGTGGATCATTACACAGCCGTAACACGGAAAGCATCAGGGAAGGAGACACGAGATGACATGGAAGAACCTTGAAAACATGATGCTCAGTGGGAGAAGCAGATACAAAAGGCCGCATGTCACAGGGTTCCATGGACATGACGTGTCCAGAGCAGGCAGACCCTCAGAGAAGTGAGGGCCAGGTGGGTGGGGGGTGGAATTTCTATCTCGGCGAATAAAAACATTCTAAAATTAGGTAGTAGTGAGGGTTCCACTACGAGTTCTACGAATTCGCTTAAAACGATTACACTGCCATCATAAAAGGGTGACTTTTATAGTGTGGGAACAAAATCTCTGTAAGGCTGTCAATAAAGACACACAGAGCCAACAAGGAAGACAGCATGACTGAGACCACCAGTGGGCCACAAAACCTCTGATATTTACCATGTAGTTCGTTACACAAGTTTGCCAAGTCTCCACATAAACAGACAAAAAAACTAACAAACTACACACGGGCCAGAGTTCCTGGAGAAGGACAACATTTATGCCTGGTAAAGTGGACGGTCAGTGAAAGAGGAAGAACCCAGTGAGGCGGACGCAGCAGCTGTGACCAGGGGCCCAGACACAGCAGTGCCTGTGCAGATGGCGTGGGACCCCCAGTGTTGCTCTGATGGACCCGACAGTGCCCGGCACCACTACACAGTTCATACAAACATGTGGACACGGATGGCTCCAGGACAGGTCACGGGGCTGGGGAAAGTGGAGCGGAAATTCAGGCTGCAGCTGGGACCCCCGCCCCTCAATGAAATGCTTTTGTTCCAGAAAAACAAACAAGGCTGAGGCTGGTCTGTCACCGCTGTCCCCGCGGAAGCCCCTTTGTGATGTCATCACCTGTAAAACGTTGCTCTCTGCCTCCTCCCCAGTGATGACCTCCACTTTTTCCAGCAGACACTTTCGGGCCGTGGCCTTGGTGTAGGCGGCCGCCGACTCGGCCAGGGACTCTGAAAGGAGATTAACTAAATACCACGGACGATTTATTGGGTGAGGGGGTGTTCTAGCCTACAGGTGAACAAAAGGGCTGTTCTGGCCTCACAGGTGTCAGCTGCCCCCACGAATCACATCTGAGCCCTGGAGTGAACACCGGAAACCTGCCAAGTAATTGGGCCTCAAAATTTGTGGGGAGGCCAGAGGTACTGACTGTGGTTCCTGATCTCCTGTTCTCCCAGCCGAGGACGGGGCGGCGAGACTCTTCAAGCACAGGGCCTTCCCCTGGCCTGTGCAGCGACATAGGCCTGCTCTCTGAAGGGAGTGCTCCTGTTTGTCTCCTGCTCCACCACCTTTGCCTTCAGACCTGGTCTCTCTCTGGCGGCAGGAGGAGGCTAACATACCTTTCTCCGGGGTGGCCTCCTGGGACGAGGACTCGGACCCGGACTCAGTGGCTGTGTTTTCCCTGTTGGCATCTGCGCTGACCTCATTTAACTTTGGCGGACTCTGGGGGGGGAGAGGGAATGAAGGCACATGGGGTCCTGGCAGACAAAGTCCCACACGAGGACACTGTGTGACCCTTCTCTGCTCAGCAGGGCTGCCTGGGCCCTATCTCACACAGCACCCCATCTCAGACCCTCACAGACCCACCCATCACTGTGTGTGGGCCCCGGGATGACTCACAACGGGAGTGAAGTGGTAACCTAAGGCAAAGTGGGGGATCCCTGGGAGACCCGATCAGCTCCTCAGCCACCACCACAAATAGTGGGATTACAAGCATCTGACCAGGAAGCAAAAAACCCCAATAACAAACCAAACAGCAAAACAAGAAAAGGAGTGTGGATGAGCACTTTTAGAACTTAGGGCCCTTCCAACACACAGGTCCCTGTGCCAGGCAGTCCTGTGGGGGAGGGGTTGGCCCAGTTTCATCTGCATGGCCCCCAGCAGGCTACAGCCTTAGGGAGGGCACAGCTGCTCAATACGGCTCAACAGGCCCAGCAACAGCGAGTGCCTGAACATCTCCAGAGCTTCCCCGAGGTGGCTGCCACTGCAGCCCGCTGAACCTGGGAGGGAGCACAGACCCTAACCACTGGCCTGGCCTCTGAGGGCGACACCAACTTTGGGGAAAGACAAACGTATGTGCACTGGCTGCCAGAGCAGCCCACCCTTCTGTAAGCCTGAGCTGGCCCATCCCTGAAAGCACACTCCCCACAGCCAAAGCCCCCACACCTCAGGCCCTTACCAGAACGCGCGCGCTCATGTTCTGACCAAACACAAACTTGCTGCTGGCAGCGTCGGCATTGCTGGTCGGGTTCTCTAAACTGAAGAGAAGACGTGGGTGAGTGTGCGGGCGTTTGACGGAACCCAGGCACTGGGACAAGGAATGTAGACCCTGGGTACCATCCAACATCAATTCCTCCTTAAACGGGAGGTACCCCTCACATGGCAGATGAGGAAGTGGCACAGAGAGGCGTTCTGGCTCCAGGCGAGCCTCAGCCCTGTGGCCGTGCTCTGCCTCCCAGGGCTGTAAGCAGACAGGACCGACGGTGCTCGGGTGGTACTGGGACAGCCAGCACCCCTCCCTATCAGGGGAAAACACTCTGCTTCCGTCACCCATGTGCTGGGAATACCAGCAGCGGAGGCGCCTGACAGTGTGAGCCAAGTCCTCTCCCCACATGCACATTTGGCTGACAGGAAGCCCATGCAGGGCTGCTCTGGAAATGAAGGCCCCCGGAAGGGCCGGGCCTCTAGACAAGCACACAGAGCTCTGGGGCTGGTGCAGCTGTAGATGAAGCCCAGGCTGGGAAGGAGGAAGTGGACTCTGCTCTCCGGGCCCTCAGGGCCACACCTGCTTCTTCCACCCATGGAAACACCCAGCTGACTCCTGGCTCCAGGTGTGGCCACCTCTCTGCAGGACCTTGCTGGTCACCAAGCCACTCTGGCAGAAACACGCATTCCTGGATACTCAGGGTGTGTGCCCGCAGCCTCACTTACCTCCTAGCCCCCGGCCTGACACTCACCTGGAGCTGATATACTGGAGAAAGTAGTTGGTCGCAGTGGGCGTTTCTGAGCTGGGCTGCCCGGCATTCTCCACGTCAGTCACGTCTGTGTTCTCGTTTATTAACTGGGAGACATAGGGGACACTCAGGACCTGGCGAAGGACAGGAGGCATCCACACAACCCCCTCCTCGGGTGGCACAGCTTCCTGTGTGCATGGGGTGGAGTGGCGGGGACCTGTGCTCTTCATGGGGAAGGTTCCAGAAAGTCTTATCATGAACACAATTAAGGATCACTTCTCAAGGGCTTGTTTCCTTGGTGCTGAGCCTGTTTAGGGCATGATTTCTTCCTCTGGGACCCATGTGAGGTGGAAATGATCACCCCATCTCATCAACAAGGGAATAGGCTCAGAGGGGTTTTTGGTGGCTCAGGGTCCCCCCAACAGAGATGCTGCACAATGTGACCATAAGACTTCAAAGCCCAGGAATACCTGGGACTCTCCACAAAATACCGCCTGCCCTGATTCCAGGCACCCACCTTTCCAAATGCCAGGATCGGCCTCCTCCTGGCTTCAGGGCCAGCGGCCAAGCCACCATTCCCAAAGTGCAGGCCCCACAGCTAGTCCTCCTCCTGTCGGGGGTCACCCTCCCGGGAACTAACTGCCGTGGCTGAAAAGCCAAGGCTACACAATGCCTTCTTGTTTCTCAGGTCTCGTGGGGCCCAAGTTGTAGAGAGCATACCCTGTCCTCAGCCCTAACACCCACAACTCCTCTACATTGCCACTGCAGGGGTCTCTCAGACGCCCAGGCACACTGCAGACACACACCTGCCTTCCCTGGTCTTCCTGGAGCCCTGAGCCACGGCCCCTCCCCAATTCCCGGGCCCTAAATGATGGAGCTGAAGGGCAGCCAGGAGCTGGCAGACACTGCTCTTTCCTGAGGGGACAGAAGGCAGTGGTTCTCAATTGGGGTGGTGCTGCCCTGGAGGGACACTAGGTGAAGTCTAAGCAAACTTGTGTTTGTGGTGACTGGGAAAAGGGGTGAAGCCCAGGGATGCTTCCCAACAACCTACACTGCACATGACAGTCCCCATCTCCACCCCCGCCAAGAGAAGGGGCCGGCCCCCAATGTCCACAGTGCTGACAGGGAGAGAGCCTGAAACATCCTATTGGGCTGTGGCATGAGTCCTGAGCACCCCCACGACACCGCAGCCTTCCCTGCGCTCACTTCTTAGGAAAGGTGGCTGGTCAGTGCTGACCCGGGGTGCACCAGACGCCCTTAGTGTGAGGGCTCACTCTGACCATGTACCTTGACTCTGTCCCTCAGGTTCTGCCCAAACACAAAGGCCTGCTGGGCAGCGTCTTTTCCCCCACAGTTCTCCTCTTCCAAAGGACTGCTAGACTCATTTTTCTGGGACTCTTTTTCCTATTGAGACACACAACACAGAGAAGTGAAGCCCCACACCCAGCTCCTCCAGCAGAAAGTCCCTGTGCTGAGGGACAAATGGACCAGCCTGGACCGCCTGTGTGGAACTTTCCTTGGGCGAGGTCACAGCAGAGGGACGGGCCTCAGGATGCCAACAGGTTTGCTATATATAGTTGAATGGGACTCACATGGGCAGAAGTGGCCTGGACACTGAAGGTCAACAGTGGAATGGACCCCTGACCTGGAGGCCACAAGTGGTGCTCAAACCTCATCAGGGGTAGTTCTGGAGTGGGGTGAGATTAGGCAGCCTGGAGAGGCTGACCCAGGCTCAAAGTAAGCTGGACACGGGTTTCTACAGACATCTCCTTAGACTCAGTCGTTTCTGGTTTCAATAGTGAGTGGACTTTTCAGTGGAGGTGACTCAGAAAGGGACTGGGACGCTACAACCCAGTACACCCAAGAGGTGCTACAGGGAACTCACGTCACGTGAGAGGTGAGCCATTCAGGAAACAAAATATATTGGTCTCTGACTCAAAATGACGCCCACAAGTGTGGTTCCCTCTTAGAGAAAGAAAATTCAGGGTGCCCGGCTCCCAACACTGAGCATTTAGATGAAGGATTCTATGTTGTTGTTAAGTGCCTTCCAGTCAGTTCTGACTCATAGCAGCCCTGTATAGAGTTTCCAAGGAGCAGCTGGGGGGTCTGAACTGCTGACCTTGTGCTTTACAGTCCAGTGTTGATCTGACAGCACCACACCAGGAGTCCAAGGATTCTAGAAAAGTATCCTAATCAAAAGGGAGAACATGCAGAACCGAAGTTTGAACTCTCATGGAATCCAGATTTTCTGGAGCCACTGAGGCTGTGACCTTGAGGCAATCTTTGAGCCTTGAGCCAAACACTGATGCTGCCTCAGTGCAGAGAACACCAGCATGCAACAGTGACTCTAGGGAGGAGGGTTCCAGAAGGAGAAGGGACTCCAGGTCACTGCACTACACAGGGAGACACTCCTGGGATGCTTTCAGTTGTCTACATTTTCACCAAAAAAAAAAAAATACAAAAGCGCAAACTCAGAAGTATGTGCATGTTTAAGAAAGGCCCAGAAGAGAAATTATGAGAAAATATAAACGCCCAACAGAGGGTATCTGGAGCCCTCCAGGGTGCACTTTATAGATTTCCAAAGCATTTCAACACTTGCAACACACAGGGGGATCATTTTGTAGGTAAACATTTTTAGAACGAGCTCACTGAGGTCTGGATCCAGAAAGTTGCTAGTAATGTCTAGGTGCCTTATTTATATAATAACAACTGCAGTTAATTGGAGAACAAAAATAGGAAGCTTTGGGGCTGATGTTCTGAGGAGTGTCCGGTGTGAGACGCTGCCAAGGCATCTGAGGGAACGAGACAGGTGACCAGCTGGCTTCTGGAGCTGACAGGGAGGCAGACACTGAAAGCTAGTCTGGGTCAATCAGTCAAGTAAGTGACGTCCTCTACAGTATGTACCATGAATTAAGTCTGTGGCCTACAGAGGAGTAGACGTGGCCTTTAAAATTCAACACGCGGTGCTCAGTGCCTTGGGAATCCTTGGAGCACAGGCTGGTTCTCAGCGGCCTGCAGACGGGCACTAATGGGGCGCTGGTCTGGGATGAGCGTGAGAGACTGCAGTGTGCAACCTGAGGGAGGGGAGCCGAGAGAGCTGTGGCCTCCGAGGCCGACGGTCTGCAGGAGCAGTCTGCCTGCACTGCTGGGACAGTGTGGGGACAGGAAGCGGCTCAGAAGAGACAGAGCACAAGCTCCCAGCAAGGTGGGCCACCTGCAGTGGGTGCTGCTCACTCACAGTCAGGTACATGAAGAGGCCAGGACAGGCCACCACTGGGTCTCCCTCAAATTCAAAACCTCATGGCTGGCTGACTGCCCTCAGGACCCAGGGCCCAGAGTGTCCACACGGCAGAGCGCAGAAGGAGGGTTCATATCTCCACTCCAACAAGCTGTGCAGACATTATGTCTTATCTTGAGTCTGATCATCCTCAGGGTGTGTGTGAGGTGCGTGGTATGTGGTGTGAGTGTGAGGTGTGTGGGGTGTGCGCTGTGGCAGCTATAAGAGCCTCACAGAGGCCTCTCCCCCCCACCGCCGGAGCAGGTGGGTGGAGAACGTAAGTAATGCCCACAGAGCCAACCAGACTTTGTATTCAGAAGACTCACGGCTGTTGTAACAACTCTGCCTTCGATCTAGCTCGGCCACCTCAGAAACAGGCCCTATGTTAAATGGTTCACTTTCTGGCTGCCATGAGATTAGACACCTTCGGGAAACATGCTTCTGGCCTCTGCAATCCCAGAAACCCAAGGGACTGTTCAAAACAACATGTAGCCTGAGGCCACGGGAGGCTCCGTGTAGTGACTTGTGTCACAGGAACTACAGGGACCATGCTCCCTTAGCTGACTGGGAAAGCCTACCACGGCCCACAGAGCAGGTGACACGGAACCCTGACAAGTGCCACCTTCCATCCAGACGACAGCCCTCTCCCTGCCCCAGGACAGACCTCAAGTGCTGACGCTTCGTCGGCGGGTTCCGACGGAGTCCTCCTTACAGGGTTGTCGGGAGATGTAGACGTCACGGGACCTGTGCAGTCTGCCGGGATGCTGACCCCGTTGGTGCCACTGTTTGGGACTGCAAGAGGGAGGACAGCGGGGAGTCAAGAGGGCATAGTTAAGGACCCCATTTCCAGATGTCACGCGACATGTGCAGCCCTCTCCTACTGTCCCACCAGTGGTGTCATTTCTCCTTTTCAAGAGCAGGATCCTGGTGTCACTGCTGTTGTGATCCTGACTCACAGCAAAGCCACCCCAGGTGACAGGGTACTGCCCCCACAGGTCTACTGGTGCGACACTGGGACCAGTCCCTGGAGAAGGACCTCATGATTGGAAAAGCAGAGGGGTCAGCAAAAACACACACAGGAAGACTCCCAACGAGATGGACTGGCACAGAGGCAGCTACAATGGGCTCAAGCATCACCAGAGTTGTGAGGATCTTGAAGGACTGGCCAGTGTTTTGTTCTGCTATGTGACTGTGTGTTGGAACTGACTCACTGGCATCTGACAATAACAACAAATATTCAGGTTTATATGTCATAGTCTATTTTAAACCTGGAGTCCTGGTGTGGCGCTGTGGGTTAATGTGCCAGAATGCAAAGCCGTTTGAACTGCAAGGTCGGTGGTTCAAGCTCACCAGCTGCTCCTTGGAACCGACTCGACAGCACTTCATAACGACTATTTTAAACCTGGCTTTGGCTCTTTAGTGTTAGATTAAAACCAGTTTCCCATGTAGTTAGAACAGTGTCTTCAGAGACTGTTGGCCTGGTATATGTACACTTTGCTGTGTATCTTTTTAGTATCAACAAAAACACTGTTATCATTGTTAAGTGCTGTCAACAGTTCTAACTCACAGCGACCCAGGATAGGATTTCTGAGGAGCAGTTGGTGGGTTTGAACCACTAACCTTGTGTTTAGTAGTCCAGTGCTTATCCTACAGGGCCACACACACAAAAAAACAAACAAACAAATTTCAACAATAGGAATGCTAGATGCTGAGCTGCTTTTGAAGGAGAAAGCCCAGGTGAATCCAATGCCACCACTACCTATGTGGCCACAGTGGGAGCCCCATTCGGGGACATGTCCTTGGGGCAGCAAATAAATCACTGCTTAGCCTCTCAGCTGGCTGAGGAAACACAAACCTGCAGGTCCAGATACAAAGCACCCACAGGATGGAAGGCTCCAGCAGCCCGATTTGAGCTCCTGAGGGCCAGGGAGGAGCCTGAGCGCTCTGTGTTGTGTGTGCTCAGCAGTCATGTGCCGCAGTTCCTTACCGGTCTGGGACGGCGCTTTGGGCTGCGGGGCCTGCAGCACTGCTGGACGGAGCACACTCCGCTGCTGCTCCTTGGGCTTCTGGCTCGGCAGACCTGGGGGCAGAAGGTGGGTCGGAAGGGTGCTGCCGGCTCCCAGCAGTCCAGCTGAGAATGCTCCCACACACTTAGACTCTAAATCACACACTTTCTCTGGAGTTAGCCCTTAGATACGAAGGAGCAGGCGCCGGCCATGTCGGCCATATTCCTGGGAAGCCAGCGCACCTGGTGCTCAGCTCAGTGGGGCCACAGATGCTCCTCAGAGACTTAGGGTGCCGCCTGCCGTCCCACAACACCCTTGGCCCCTACTTTTCAGAGTCGAGGTTTCTCAGCCCAGGCTAGAGCACACAGACCCCTCTCAGCTCCAGGCTGCAGTCAGTCCACCAGTAGCCTTGGGGCGCAGCCATCCATCAGGGAGGCGGGCATGGAGGTGTGTGTGTCGGGGCACAACGCTCCAGGGAGCCCAGCTGAGCTAGTAGAGCCCCTGCCGGGCACAGGCCTACACGGTCCTGCCCACACCAAGCCTGACTGCCTGCCCCCTGCCCCCCGTCAGATGGAAGTGGTAGCATGGGAGGCAGCTCCTCTGAGGCACAGCCTACCTGCGCTGGGTGCCTGGCCGTGGATGAGCGTCGGTGGTTTCAAACGGAAGCCACTGCTCTTCTCCTCTGTAAGGACAAGAGCAGCGTGAGGACAGGCTGCCAGGGTGGGGCTGAGAATGGTGGGAGAGGAGCAGGTCACTGAGCTGAGAGAACCAGCGTGAGCCTTCCAGAGTCCAGGTAACCCAGGGGAGCCCTGTGCCATCACCGGCACCAGGAGGGAGGGTGAACACTGGGTACACTTGTCAGCGGCAGACAGGATGGTGAGACATGTGCAGGACAAAAGACAGGAGGGTAGTTTCAGCAGGGAGCCCTTCTAGCTGCAGGGTCAGCCGGAGGCTGGGAAACAGAGCGGGGAATGTGGGCCCTACGCTGTATTGGTGGGAGCTGCCAGCTGGGGACTCAGCAGTGAGGACACATGTGAGACCAGGAAGAGCACCTGCACCCCAGAGAGGTCTGGGGCCTGGAAGGAGGAGCTCCTGAATAAACACAGGCCCCAGTGTGTGCTGCTGACCCTGGCCACCTCAGGAGGGGAGACCAGGGCAGGAAGGGCCGTCATAAACAGCCTCGTGACTCAGCTCCTGGGGAAGTAAGCACAGGGTGACAGTGAGAAACTGCATCTGGAGGTGGGAGGGGGGCAGGGACACAAAGAGCCTTGCTTCTTCATCGGAAATAGCCCTGTCAGCTTTCAGGAAGACAAGATCAACACACAGAGAATCCAACCATACTTCTATGTGCTGGCAACGAACAACCTGCAGTGCAATGAAGCGCCAAGGAGAATTAACTAGGCAGGTAAAAACTGAACAAAAGTGCCAAGGTTACACTCCCAAACTACCGAAAACACTGTGCAAAGAAATGAAACCTTACATAAATGGAAGGATTTCGGAACGTGAAGTCATCAAAACAACGTCTTAAAAGGAGACCACGAACTCCCAAATGCTACAGCCCAAACCCAACCTCTTAGTATCTCTGTTGTTGTGTGTTATTGAGCTGCTTCTGACTTAGGGACCCCGTGGGACAGACCAGAACTGACGTGGAGTGTTACCTAGACGATGACCTTCACAGAGCAGACTGCCAGGTCTTGCTCTTGGGGAGCTACTGGACCTTTCAGTTAGCCACCAGGGCTCACCTAGCTGACCATCTAATTCTCAACAAGGCTGACAGGACCACTCAGTGGGGAAAGGTTCATCTCTCAACAACTGTGTTGTGGAAACTGGATCTCCACAAGCAAGAATAAAGGTGGACTTCGATCTCACAGCACAAACAATATTCAAATGTACCAAAGACCTAAATTGTAACAGCTAAAAACTCTTAGAATAAAACAAAGGCGAAAATATGACTTTAGACCACCAGGAAAATGCAAATCAAAACCACAAGGAGATACTTCTCCGCACCCACTAGGAGGTCTACGATCATGTGAGTGAGGATGTGAATAAACAAGAACCCTGAAAATACGCCGGGGTTGGGGTGGGGTGGGCGTGACGTGGTGCAGCTGCTGTGGAAGGCGAGCCAGCAGCAGGTCCTCAAATCTCCTCCCGGATGAGCCGCATTCCCCTCCTAGGTAATGCCCGGAGAGCTAAAACACATGCCCATGCAAACACTGCTCCAGGAATGCTTCCAGTGAGACTATTCAAAACAGCCAAACAGCGGCAAGGCTTGTTCAATGCCGTTGAGTTGGTTCTGACTCACAGTGACCCTGTGTTAAGGGTTTCCGAGGTTGTAAATATTTTCAGAGCAGAAAACCTCATCTTTCTCCCATGGAGCAGCTGGTGGGCTCAAACTGCCAACCTTGTGGCTCACACTCTAAGTGTTTACCTTAGAATCACCACGTTCCAGCAAAAAGTAAAAATACCTAAATGTCTATCAAGTGAGGAATGAATAAACAAATGGAGATAAAACCATACAATGAGGTACTATTCGATTTGGCCATAAGAACAGGAAAAGCTGCTCCGATCCACGCTACAACATGAATGACCCGGGAAAACAGAACGTGGAGTGCAAGCAGCAGAGCCAAGGTCAGGTACTGCCTGGTGCCATGGACAAGAGCCGTCCAGAACAGGCAAGTCCACAGAGACAGAGGCTGGCAGCAGGTTAATGAAGAGTGACCGCAAAAGGCAAGGCTTTCTTTTGGGAATGATGTTGGAATATGGAATGTGAAGGTTCAACTACTCTGTGGAAAGACTGAAAACCAGACCACTGTACACAAAACAGACCAAGCTTTCAGGTGGGACACAGAGCCCAGCATGAAGCAGGAAAGCAGGAAGGCTGGCTTCCTCTGTCACCTCTGTTGTTGAGTCAAACTGCTCTCGTTGGGCACAAACAGGACCACAGAAGTGCTCACAACTAGTCCCTGCCAGCAGTCACCAAGCAAAGAGAACCCAAAGCCACAGGTGGGAGGGAGGTCCTTTTGGGGAAATAAACGAACTGTATTTCTAAGTGCAAAGATGGGTACCCAGTGGCACAAAGGTTAAGTGCTCAAATGCTAATCAAAAGATCAAGGTGTGAACCCACCCACATCTCTGTAGAAGCAGGGCCTGGCGAAGTGGAGAGATGGAGCAGCTGGGGACTTTAGACCCAGAGAGGGAGAGGGGCTGTGTGCTGACGACAGGGGGGCAGGCTTGTTATACCCTTTGGTTGGCTGTTGATGCATGGAGGTGATTGTAACCATGGCAATGAAACGATATAGGATAGAATGAATGTAAAACTAACGTTCCCCCATGTAAACTATCACATAATTCACAATTAAATATTAAAAAAAAAAAAAAAAGAGTACCGTCAAGAAAACCCAATGGGGCAGTTCTACTCTGTCATACGACGTCATTATCGCCGGAAACAACCCTACAGCACCTAACAGCATTTTCAAAGCGGTGGAGCACACAGATATTAGCAATTTGGATAATTATTTTTAATTACAGAGAAATGCTTCCATAACTAATGCAACACTGAAAACAGTCAGTGTCTACGCTAAGAAACTTGGAAAAACAGTTACCTGGCCAACTGACTACAAGAGATTCATATTTACGCCCATTCCAAAGAAAGGTAATACAACAGAACATGGAGATGATCAACTAACATCATTAACACCACATGCAAGTCAACTTTTGCTAAAGATAATTAAACACAGTTGCAACGATATACCAACAGTGAGTGTTTAAAAATTCACGCCATATTCAGGAGAAGATGTGGAGCAAGGGATGTCACTGATGACATCAGTGGCTGAAACAGAGCAAAACCCCAAGAAGCTGGACATCACGCAGCCAAAGCGGCATCAGGACCGGAAGGCTCAGTAACTATCTGCGATATGCAGATGACACAACCTTGCTTGTTGAAGTAAAGAGGACTTGAAGAACTTACCGATGAAGATCAAACACTATAATCTTCAGTTTGAATTGCTATTCAATGTAAACAAAACAAAAATCCTCATGCCTGGACCGACGGATATCATGATTAACAGAGAAAAGATGAAAGTTGTCAAGGATCTCATTTTACTTGAATCTATAAATAATGTTCATGGAAGCAGCAGTCAAATCTGCTGTAAAAGAACTCTTTGAGAACTGAAGTGTGCCTCAGCCAAGCCTTGGGACTTCTGAATCCATATGGCATACTCACATCCAATGAGTAAGAACGGAGAACTGATACATTTGAATTAGGGCACTGGTGAAGACCATCAAAAAGAATGCTCCTTAGAGGCATGTACTGGGATATGCTATCAGAAGGGACTAGTTCCTGGTGAAGGACATCATGCTTGGTAAAGCAGAGGGTCAACCAAAAAAGAGCAGGTCCCACAATGAGAAGGCTTGACACAGTGGCTCCAACAATGGGCCCAAACATACCGACTGTGAGAATGGTACAGACAGGGCAGTTTTCTCTGCTGGGTTGCTATGAGTCGGAACGACTCGAGGACCCTAACAAAACAGTGACATTTGCAGTTTGGCTAATTTTTAAAAGGCCCTTAGAGCTGGCTTCAAAAGCTTATACTTTAGTTACAGATTTACCTCCACCACTCCGTGTTGTGTGTGTGGACAATGCTAACAGTAATATGATCCCCCATGTTTGAGGCCCAGTGCCTGGCCCACTAGGCCAATGCAGAGAATCTGTGTGGAATGATGACTGAGTTTATTAGGTGTCATTGAGTTGGTATCGACTTAGAACGACCCTATGCACAGCGGAGTGAAAGACTGCCCAGTCCTGTGTCAACCTCACACTTATTGCTATACCTGAGCCCATTGTACCTGCTGCCACTGTCCCAATCCATCTCTCTAGGGTCTTCTTCCCCTCTCCCACTCTCCACTTTACCAAATATGATATCCTTCTCCAGGAACTGAAGTATGAGAGATGAGGTCTGGCCATCCTGGCTTCCAAGAAGCACTCTGGCTGTACTTCTTTCAACATAGATCTGTTGGTTCTTTTGGTGGTCCATGGTACTTTTAGTATTTTCCTCCATCACCATAATTCAAATGCATCAATTCTTCTATGGTCTTCCTTATTCATTTCCCAACTTTCACATGCATATGAGGTTACTGAAAAAACCATGGCTTGGATCAGGTACACCTTAATCCTCAAACTGACATCTTTGCTCTTTAACACTTCAAAGAGGTCTTGTGCAGCAGATCTGCCTAATGCAATAAGTCATTTGAATGCATGACTGCTGCTTTCGTAAGTGTTGATAGCTGATCCAAGCAAAATGAAGTCTTTGACAACTTCAATCTTTTCTCCGTTGATAAGAATGTTATTTATTGGTTCAGTGGTGAGGATTTTTGTTTTCTTTACATTAAGATGCAATCCATACCAAAGACTGTGGTCTTTGATCCTCATAAGTATTTTAAGTCCTCTTCACTTTCAGCAAGCAAGGTTGTATCATCTACATATCACAGGTTGTTAATGAGTCTTCTTCCAATCCTGATGCCACGTTTTTCTTCATAGAACCCACTTCTCAGATTATTTGTTCAGCATACACATTGAATGAGTATAGTGAAAGAATACAACCCGGGCGCATATCTTTCCTAATTTTAAACCATTCGGTGTTCCCTTGTTCTGTTCGAACAACTGCCTCTTGGTCTATGTGCAGG